CTTGTAGATTAACTTCTCCTTTCTTTAGTTTTCTACTTATCTTGAACCCTTGCAATATATTGCAGATGTTATAACCACTGCCAGTATTTAATACCCACAGTGAAGAATTAGTAGTAGCTAAAGAAACCTTGAAAACATTTTTCATTAATGTCTCACCTTGTTTCTTGTCCTTTAGAGTTGCAAGATACTCCTTGCAGTTTCTCTTCCAATGCCCTTTCTTCTTACAGTGAAAACATTCAACATCATATACTGACTGCAAGATCAAATATTCAGAAGCTCTTTTCCAAGCTTGTACCCCAACTTCTCATGTTCTTCGGTAAGAACAATCATACGATTGACAAGGGGTCCAACTGGAGAGTTTTCAATGTCCAATAGTGTATCAACCATCTTCTTAAGATATTCAATGATTGTAGTTGGATCCATATTCTGATGTTTCCTCTGGAATTCAGAACTCATAGAAGCGAGAATGATGTGTTTAATAACAAGGCATTCTTGTAAGTGTTTCTGATAAATCTTGGTGCCTTGAACATCATTCTCGGGTGGGATTATCCTTGTAGGCTTATCGATCACATCAATGAGCTTTTCATGCATGAGAAAAATTCTCAAATTTCTATACCAGTCATCAAAGTTTGGTCCTACCAACTTGTTGGTCTCAAGTATTTCACGCAGTGATATAACAGACATATTGAGAAATCTAAAATATAGAAAAGAAAAGGCAATAATATAAGAACATATTTACATATATCATAAAGACATGAACTTTTATCTAAATAATATTTTCACTAATTATTTTAAACTATTTACCCTCATTATAGTTCAGGAAATCTTTATTTCTGTTAGTGGAGTAAAGGAATCCTTTAACAATATGTATGAGCCCCTTGGAAGTCAAGTCATTTCTCACATATATTTTAAAGGTAGGTACTCTTACCAATTCTATCCCCATACAATTTCCTTAAATAGCTCTATGTCAAATAGTCCCCTGGTAGTCAGGTCGATCCTATTGGCATAGTTGAGTTCAACCATCATGATAACAAAGAACTTATTAAATATTAGACTCCCCGGGTAGTCCAGGCATCTAGTAAAATATTAGATAATTCTTTCAATCCATGCATCTAATGCAATAAATAATTTTAACATATTCACGAACTATAAGTCTCCTGGTAGTCAGGTCGCTCCTTATAAACAAGAAATAAGTAAAATTATTTACTTTGATGGATAGTTCTATAATAAAATATAAGATATTTTATTATTTAAGAACTCAAATTTTAGTAAGAGAGAATTGTTACTAAAACAGTTTTTAATAACATGAAGATCAAATCTTTTATAGCACGTGATTTAGTTCAAATTGTCTACATGCTTAGTCCTAAATTGATTTACATCACATGTAATAAATAATTCAAAATTATGTAACAAACAAGCATGTGACATAAAAACGAAATTCAACATATTCTAACTTGTTTATCTTATATATCACATAAAAATAATTCATGCCAGAAAACTATTATTAATTAACATCTCATGAACTAATAACAATTAAAATAACAGTAGAATCTAATAACCTATTATAAATTACAATCATATCTAATACAAAAATTTCAAATTCAAGTTACGAACTATCTCAATAGTTTAACTTATATGTATATATATTTTATTCACAATAAAATTATATCAATCCATATGCATTCAAACAATTTGACTATTGCATAATACACATGTATTATAGTTTTGAACTCTTCAAATATAATCTTAAAATATTTCGTAAATAAATTTTAGACACAATAAACCACGGCTCTGATACCACTGAAGGATTGCATATAGGTGTTCGTAACATGCAGCGGAAGACAATAACAATTCTAGGTAGATCTTTTCGTGTTTAAAATTTATTTACATGTCAAAGATCGGATCTAAGACGTACCTGGTGAAGAGAGTTTCGTTTCAAAATTTCTTCGATAGTGCGAAGACTCTATGTGTATCCATACCGAGTCCAATCCTTGTTGTCAACTCTTTGATCAATGAAACCCGCGAACAAATTGAACGAAAAAATTGTGCTGAAGTTTTTCTCAAAAATCTCAACGCAAATTAGAAGAACAAGAAACACTTTCCTTGTAATTATATTTTCTCTCTTGGCTTGGTATTACACTCTTACTTTCACAAAGCATTTTTTCTTCTCAAGAATTAATAATGTGGCAAATTTTCTCCATCACCCTTTACATAGCATCACCTATAAACTCTTTTCCTATTTGGGTGAGGTAATAATTTACTTAGGGTAAAAATTTATTCCAAAAATAAACTTCATCGATTATTTTCTAACGAAAATCAGAATCTCGTTCTTAATGGGTTTGGTGCCCAACGTCCTTCCTAAGGACTTTGACGTGAAGGTTCTGTTAATGTCCAATTCCAAATTGGACTTTAAGTGCTACTCCAAATAATATTTTATATTAAAACTACCAATACCATTCTTATGGGTTGAAGTAACCGGCGATTTTCACGTCAATCCAATTCTTAATTGGATTGATAAATTAATCTTTATTAATATTTATATACATATCTTTTATATATATATATATATATTTCAACCAAGAGATAATTTAATTTTCTATTTCAAATAGAAAATCTCAATTTGTTCACAATATTAATTACACTCCATGTGCTAGCAAAGAATAGAATAATATTTCACTGAGACTAATAACTAAATTTATTTGACTAATTAAATTCTTTAATTTAATTATCAAATAATAAAGTAATTAATCCTTTAGCAAAGATCAGAACACTCGTTAGTGTGCGACCCCATATGTTCAATACTAAACCGGTAGTAAATTGATCACATCAATATACTAATCAAGGGTGGCGTCTAGTAACACTCCTTAACGACCGGATAGAATGAAGTATACAATTTGCTCTCAAGAACCAATAGAAGAATAATGTAGTAATTCCTTCTGTCCTTATAGCTCTGGGTCACCCTAGGATATGGTTCAATTGTCAAATCCAAATAGGCGACCAACTATGTATTCATGTCAAATATAATCGACCATTGAATGACCTAAGAAACACTTTTCTTCTTTCATTCAATTGCCCTGGCCAAGGTCTTAGTTTGGTCGTTTATAATTCATGACAACATAGAGCTTAAACTCATTACCAAGAGTTGACAGATTCCATCTTGCAATTGATCAATCACTAATTCTACAAGTATTCAATCATACCCAATATCCTTTCAACTATCGCCCTAGAGCCATAGGTGTCTAGTATTAAAGCACAACAAATAACTTATCAATTACTATGACGATCTCAGGTCAAAGGAAACTCTTACATCATATTCTTCAAGAGAATATCCTATTGACAGTTTATGGTAATTCTAACCACTAGGAATTATCCAATGAGTCGGTTCAATAATCATATCTCTATATGCATCATCTATATATGTGATTCAGTTAATGAGATCAACTAATCTTTATCCCATAAAGACAATCACATAAATATTGATCTAACCGGATTACTAATGTCCAAATTAATAATCCTACGATCAAGAACAAATTTAGATTAAATTGTAAGAGACTTTGCTCTCATTATCATGATCTCTATCACTATGACAAGCCTCAAAATTTAATCAAGAACCTTATCAAATTAATCAAACAATTAATAATAACTATAATAAAAGAATGCCATATATTTTTATAGCAAATAACGTTCACAAAAATATGTTAAAATCATCAAATATGAAATTGGATCTAGGGCATATCTACTATATCCCTAACAATATCATCTAGTTAAGTAGTCAAATCGAGATGGAAGGTTGTAGTAGGACGTTATTGGAAAATAAGTAGTTTGTTGATGTGTGAAAACATCAGAAATATTGGCAACTCTTATTGTAACCTTTCAAACTTAAACTTTTTCCACGAACTTATCATTAGTTACGTATGATGGCCATGCATTTAATTATAGACTTCATCTTATGGAACGTACATCAGTACAGGATTTGATATTTAATTTGGACATTAGCTTTTAATGTTAATTTTGTGCCTCATCGCATGCTCTTATATTGTTATATTTAATGATGCCATAATTCTATAGAGAAAGATCGAGAATCCATATTCATAAATAACAGGTGAGACAGATAATTTTGAGACTAACGACGGTCAACTACAATTCTATGCACGGTAAAGAACATGGTCACAATTACTTGGGGGCCAAGTAAGTACATCCATCACTACTCCGGAAAGTAGAGAATAGCCCTTTGTCCGCCTCTTCGAGCCACATTATACGCTTACGCGTTCGTCTTCTAAGCCCTGTATTCAAGTCGATCATACATTAACATTAGTGAAGGGTAAGTTTTAAGCTTTTAAAAAAGATAACAATAAATTTTACGCGTTAATGATAAAAAAAAATATCTGTATAATTGGACCATTACAAGGTAATTAAAAGCAAATATTGGTTATGATTAGTATATTATATTGTAATCTTTATGATAAGTATTACTCCGATTAGGATTAAGTTACATTATAAAGATTCTCTTACAGCTCATCAAGAGATTTATATGTCATTAACTAATAAATGACCTGATTGTTATAAATTTTAAACTCTATACATTGTATCATTTGACAGTTTAAAAAATATTTTCACGTTCACTAATATAACTCAAATTCATACGTAAAATCCAAGAATTATAATGGAAACTTCATCATTAATGTGGAAACTTGGTGGAAGCACACCTTGTAACTACACTCTATCTGCTTCAGCTGATGGTATGGAATGATGTGAAAAGTTCCCATTCAATGATTGCGCCTAACGCGGTGAGATAGCAAACCCTACAAAGTACTAGATTCCTATCACTTTAGTTTACACACTAGTTACCTCTCTCTTTCTGACTAACTTAATCAACTAGGAAAATACAACGTATTGAAAATATACAACAAGAGCAAATATCATTAACAGAAAACACGCAGAGTTCAGTTAGAAGCCCTATCTTCGATTGACCTATATATATATATATATATATATGTGTGTGTATACAGAGTCATGAAAGCAATTAACATTTCATTCAGAGATTCAAAAGCAGTACACCAAAGCATATCTTTGTGTCTTCATCCTTTTAATTAATAAATTTCTTACACCATGGCAGCCATGAAGAGAAGCAGAGAAGACGATAGTGAAGTAGAAGCACAAGCCATGGCTAACTGCTCAATGCTGTTGTCTCGTTTAAACAATAACACTTCATCGTTTGAATGCAAGACATGCAACAAACGATTCTCATCTTTTCAAGCACTAGGCGGCCACAGGACGAGTCATAAATCGCTGAGATCATCATCCATAGACGCCAGAAGCAAATCCAAAAAACCAAAGAATAATATGCACCAGTGTTCTATTTGTGGGATGGAGTTCTTTATGGGGCAGGCTTTAGGTGGACATATGAGGCGTCACCGTGCCCCAGTCAATGTACCAGTTTTGAACAAGTCGAATAGTAGCAAGAGAATATTATGTCTGGATCTTAATTTAACCCCTGATGATCAGAACGATGATTTTATGTTATGGCCGACGGCACCTGCTCCTGTTTTGCGCTGCTTTATCTAATACCCTCGATCACACTACCATTACTTTTAAGTTATATATGGACTAGCTAGAACTTGTTTTTCTTTTTTGTTTAATTACTTTTTTATTCTTTTCGACAACTGCCTTCCGTTTTGGTTTTGTATATATCGACATTCTATAGCTATCATAGGAGTACTTTTTTTCTATAGCACTAGTTATACTTCATTAAGATGGAAAATAGAATCATGTGGTACTCCGTGGTACTCCTATCTTATAACCTGTTAATCAGAATTTAATTAAGGGTCGTTTGATATGATAGATAAGTAAAAATAATGCTGGATAAAAGTTTAGTACCATCTTATTCCTTGTTTGACATTAATTCTGGGATTAAAAAATATTACCGGGATAATATATACCTGGCAGCAGGTGGAATAATAATTCAAGTATGCGTTATTCTAACAAACAATAAAAAATAATATCAGAATAATTAATCAACACAACCAGTTCGAATATAATTAATCCCAACATAATTAATCACAACATAACTTATCTTCAAACAAACGACCCATAATAATAATAATAGAAAAAGTAAATTTCTATTATGAGTATTAAAACAACTGTTTTTCTTTTCAAAACTAATTTTCTCACTGTTGCATCTGTCGGAATTATGTACAAAACGAATTTTCTATTAAGAATGAATTATTCATTAGCTCTACGGGATACCGGGAAGCTCCGGTCCATGGGATTATCACTCATTGACGTCATCAAGACCCGAAATGCGAGTCCGAAACCTAAATATTATTTTTTGACTCAAATTACCTTAATAGGTGTTTAAAAAAAATATATTTCTATATATAGCGTGCAAATACAAGACGTTATATATTAACGGTAATGTTTGCCGTTAAGGTATAGCGTCTTGTATTCATACGCTATATGGTCTGACGATTTGACTGTCATATATAGC